TACGGTTAATTACCCTTTTTGTCTTTTATTAGATAGGATCAGGAATTGGTTGGGTGGGGGTGTAGTGTGTAAAGGTATAGATCAGGGGTTGGCAAAGTATCTGTAAAGGTTCAGATAGTAAAAGTTTTAGGTTTTACTAGCCATGTGGTTTCTGTACCAGTTGCCCACCTCTACCTTTGCAGTGTGAAAGCAGCCACAGACAGTATGTAAACAAACAAGCATAGCTGTGTCAATAAAACTTTATTTCAGCAAGCTGAATTCAGCCCACATGTTGTAGTTTGCTAACTTCTCCAGATCTAGATGAAAAGATTAACCATGAAGTTACAGTTGTTGAACCTAGGATACAAGATGATTCATTATAATATTTTCTCTACTTTTATATATATTTGAAAATTCCTGTAATAAAAAATAAACTAGGTACCTTTTGGATAATTGTCCTTGTTTTGCATACAACTCCTACTAAACTATTCAGTTGTAGCTCTATCTAGGAGGGTTTTTTTTGACTGCCTCCTGCACATCTTCTCCTGGGGATCGAGCCTGCAATCCAGGCATGAGCCCTGACCGGGAATCAAACCCTGGCTTCCTGGTTCATAAGTCGACACTTAGCCACTGAGTCATGCTGGTCAGTAAGGCAAATTTTTATCTTAAGCTCTCAAAGAAGTAATTGTTGGACTCTTTGATACTAAAATGACATACCTCTAAACCATTTTCACTGGTTTAATGATCTGTATTCTATTTAGTTAGTTTCTCTGTGTTCCATGGCTGGCTATTAAGAGTAATCGCTCATTTTATTCCCTCCTCTAGGCATCAGAGACAAGGTGTCTGACTGGGAGGAGTTCCTGCGGCAGACTCTGAAGGAAGCGTGTAGTCCTCCTGTCCCGCTGCTAGAGGGCGTGAGTATGATCGCTTGCAGGATCAGTGTGGAAAACCCTTCCAGTCTTTAGTGAGATTTCCTGTCTAAGGAATCTTAAAATTGGTTGCTCATTTACTACCCCCAAGGCAAATAGGCATTATTATTAAAGACATAGGCATGTGTACTGGGAGGTTTAAGCTTATTATCCTCAGAGGTTACAAACTGCCGGCTTGCTCAGTGCCTAAAGTATTCTGAATTAGTTGCTAACACATAAAAATCTAGTTTTCCAAATGCTGTTATGTAGCTGGTGTTTTGGTGCTCTCACTCTGTAACAGAGCAGGTGTTGACTCTGCTTGAGGATGAGCATTTGTAACTCCCACACCAGGTGACTTGAGACTCTCTCCCTTTTAAAAAATATATATTTTTTTGCTTTCAGAGAAGGGAGACAGAGAGATAGAAACATCATTGATGAGAGAGAATCATGGATCTGCTTCCTCCTGCATGTCCCCCACTGGCATGTGCCCTGATTGGGCATCAAACCATGACCTCCTGATTCATAAGTTGGCACTCAACCACTGAGCCACACTGGCTGGGCAAGACTCCCTTTTTTTCAGTCAGAAGACAGTAGTAGATCTGTAGTACTTCTACCACCTACTTGCTTTCAGCAGTCCTTTTACATTATTGTAGGTTTTGAGCTTGTTAGTAATCATAGATTTCTTGTTTTTATAAAAATCAGTTTATTGGTTGTGACATTTCTAAATTATTTTTTGTTACTTTGTGCAATTGCAAAATGTAATGTATGAAGTTTCCAATTTCTCTACATCGTTGACAACACTTATATTCTCTTTTTGGTTATAGCTATTCTAGTGAGCATAAAGTAGTACCTCATTTGGATTTAGGGAAGTCACTTATTTCCCTAATGACTGAGGATGTCGAGCATCTTTTCAAGTGCTTATTTGCGATTTGTGTATCTTTTTCTAGAGAAATGTCTTTGCCCATTTTAAAAATTGTAATTATTTATTTGTTTGTTTATATATTTATATGTTTTTTATTGCTTTTTTTTTGAGAGAGGAAGGAAGAGAGAGAGAGAGGGACAGAGAGAGAGAGAAACATATATTGGTTGCCTCCTATGGGTGCCCCAGCCAGGGATTGAACCCACAATCTAGGTATGTGCCCTGACTGGGAATTGAACCCACAACCTTTTGGTATAGGAGATTACTCTCCAATCAACTGAGCCACCTTGCCAGGGCGTCCCTTTTTAAATTGGGTTATGTCTTTTAATATATATTTTATTGATTTGTTACAGAGAGGAAGGGAGAGGGATAGAGAGTTAGAAACATTGATCAGCTGCCTCTTGCACACCTCCTACTGGGGATGTGTCCGCAACCAAGGTACATGCCCTTGACCAGAATCGAACCTGGGACCCTTGAGTCCGCAGGCTGACGCTGTATCCATTGAGCCAAACCGGTCAGGGCGGGTTATGTCTTTTAATTATTGAGTTGTAAGAGTTTCTTATGAATTTTAGTTGCAAGTCTAGATCAGATAAATAATTTTCAAATATTATCTCCAGTTCTGTGGATTATCTTTTCACTTTCTTGATATCATTTACAGCACAAACATTTTTTATTTTTATGTAGTCCATTTTATCTGTTTTTTCTTTTTTTTGCTTGTGCTTTGGTGTCATATCTAGGAAAGCTTTGCTTAACCTGACTCATTTCATTATGTTTAGCTAGGACTTGGTACATGTTAAAGACTCAGTAAAATTTGAGCAAATGCATGAAATCATGAACAAATGAATTAATAAATACTCTTCTGTACATTGACCTTGATTCTGCCATTTTATCTTTAGCTGTGAATGTGTTTCCTCCACTTGTTCCCATGTTCATTTGCATAATAAGAATATGCAAGTGTCACAGAGCAGTTCTTATTAGAAAAAATGTAAGTTTGAATATTAAGAATTGATTATGTAATAATGTTGGAATTAGCATTCCTCTTATTCTTTATTGTAGCTTTTAATATATATCTAGAGAGTGAGACTTAAACTTTTCCTTTCTATCAGTGTAATGAAAGCACTGTGTTCTTAAGAACATTGTGAAATGAGTAAAAACATCAGAAACAACCTAAATGCCATCAGTAGATAAGTGGATCAATCACTGCCCATTTGTAATACTGGATAGCAATACAACAGTTTAAAATAATGAGGAAGCCCTAGCCGGTTTGGCTCAGTAGATAGAGTATTGGCCTGCAGACCGAAGTCCTGGGTTTGATTCTGGTCAAGGACAAGTACCTCGGTTGCAGGCTCCTTTCCAGCCTAGACCCTGGTCAGGGCTTGTGCAGGAGGCAACCAATTGATGTGTTTCTCTCACATTGATGTTTCTGTCTGTCTTTCCCTCTCTCTTCCGCTCTTTCTAAAAATCAGTGGAAAAATATCCTCGAGCAAGGATTAAAAATAATAAAACAATGAGGAAGATTTGTATGTGCTATTATAGAAAGATAGCTATGATTTATTAAGTGACAGACACAAATTGAAAAACAGTTTACAGTGTTCCTACTTAAAAAAATGAGAGAGTGAAAGACACAGACTTGTGTGTAGAAAACCCAGTCTCAGAGAGTGTGTGCCAAAGTGTTTATTGTGTTTTTCTTTTTAAAGGTGGGATTGTGAGGTATTTCGACTTTTGTTGTTTTTTTTCTTTGATGATCATATTTGCTTTTACAACAATCAGAGACTAATGATGATATTTTTAAAATCCTTACTAGATTAAGCTATCTAACATAATCCTCAAGGCAGAGATCTGTTAGAATAGTTTTATTGGTACATCTACACAATGGAATACTACGCTGCGGTAAAAAAGAAGGAACTCTTGCCTTTTGCAACAGCTTGGATGGGACTGGAGAGCATTATGCTAAGTGAAATAAACCAGTCAGAGAAAGATAAATACTACATGATCTCACTCATTTGTGGAATAAAGAGAACAACATTGACTGACGAACAGGGACAGATCAAAAGACAGAGAAACAGCAATCAGACTATTAATCCCCAGAGGGAAAGTAGGGGAGGGTGGGGGTAAGGGGAAGAGATCAACCAAAGGACTTGTATGCATGCATATAAGCCAAACCAATGGACATGGACAACAGGGGGATGAGAGCATGAGGGGGGGCGGGTGGAGATGGGGGTTAATGGAGGGGAATGAGGACACATTTGTAATTCCTTAGCTAATAAAGAATTTAAAGATTTTTAAAAAAAGAATAGTTTTATTGCATTATAGGTAGATTTTTTTTAAGACAAACATTTTATATCACCTACAGATAATACTATAGGTTCTTTTATGCTATTAGACAATTCAGTATCACTGACTTTGAATGGGTAAAAATATAAAGGCTTGTTTGAGGTTATTTAAACTTGACTTTTTAGAATATTATGTTAACTTCTCTTATGTAATATTGTCTCCTTTTTTACCTACAGCTCCGTAATGGGAGGAACCCTTTAGATCTCATTGCTCCAGGCTCCAGGCTGGAATGTCAAGCTTTCCAGGACACGCTAAGCACTTGGATTGTTACTGTAGTAGAAAACATTGGGGGAAGGCTGAAGCTACGCTATGAAGGACTTGAAAGTTCTGACAATTTTGAACATTGGTTGTATTACTTGGATCCGTTTCTTCATCACGTTGGTTGGGCAGCTCAACAAGGATATGAACTTCAGCCCCCATTAGGTGAAGAGAAGTATAACATTTTTCTTTTAACTATTATATTATTGTTATAATATGTTTTTATTAATATTTATGAGGCTGAGAAAAGCATTATTCTGCATATTATAAAAGCTTTTATTACTTTGCATAATAGAGATATTGAAAAAACATATAGGGAGTTAAGCTAAACACCTATTATTCTTTTCATTTTATTGCTTTTGGTAAGAGGTCAGTATCAGGTGAGGCAGAAATCTATGATATGCATACCTTATAGATTTCTGCCTCACCTGATACTGACCTCTTACCAAAATTAAAGAAAAATTCCCTAGGTAGCATTCATATAGGTATCGGAGTGGGACAGATCTGGAGTTCAAAGCAGATTGTCGATTAAGATATTATAACTGGAGTTACTGTGTAAATCCATTTGCATTTATTATTATGTGCCCTAGTTTGGATGTTGTATTATGTTATTTTGTGGACTACAGCAGTCCTTTATCTCACTGTAGGTGTTTGCATCGTACTTTACTCCCAAAGCTCTGAACCGAGGAGAGAAGATGGTATAAGTGGGCTTGAATCCTTTTCTTTCCCAGTGGAAAGTGATTTATTTATTTATGTGAATGCTTTCACAATAGTTACTGATATGTATATTCAGTAGTTATTTAAAGTTACCTGTCTTGTTTTACTAAAGCCATCAGGCATCTGAAAAATGAAACTGAGTGGCAAGAGATCTTGGCCAAAGTGAAAGAGGAAGAGGAAGAGCCATTACCATCTTACTTATTTAAGGTAAAAACAAAAACGAGTGAAACAGTCTGAGGGAGGTGCAGGGCATAAAATAACCCCTGGAGTCAGAGTGCTGTGGCGTCCGAAGGAGGGAAGAGGTTTGAAGGCTGGAGTGATGCTCATCCTTTTCTTCTTCTAAAAATAGTCTAGGTTTTCTCCCAAAGACCTCTTAGAGCATTTTGAGCTTTTTCTACCCTTAAAAAAATGTTTTTTTAAATTTCCAATTATGGCTGACACAATATTACCTTAGTTTCAGGTATACAACATAGTGGTTAGACATTTATGTAACTTACAAAGTGATCCCCCCAATAAGGTACCCATCTAACACCATACAGAGTTATAGTAATATTATTGTTATATTTCCTATGCTGATTTCTACATCCCTGTTACTGTTTTATAACTGGTAATTTGTACTTCTTAATCCCTTCAAAGTGAAGGAATTTTTCCTACGCTTAACTATATAGTTTTGACTTGTTATCAACTAAACTTGTTTTTCTGTCAGATAGCCTTTGTGTTTAAGATGTAGAGAGTAGGAGTGCCTCCTGTGGTTTTATTCCTGAATAATGTTTTTCAGGGAAGGAAATGATAGGATTAGGTTCTTTACCAGAAGTTGGACAGGTCCATTATTTTAATTAACTGAGGGTAGTATTCAGTTATATATGAGTATAAAATTAATGTGAAAATACTATGTTCTTATTCCCTCTTGGTGTTTGCATTTCAGGACAAACAAGTGATCGGTACACATTCATTCTCTGTAAATATGAAACTGGAAGCTGTGGATCCCTGGTCTCCTTTTGGGATCTCGCCTGCTACAGTTGTTAAGGTAAAATGGGGGCGACTTTCTTGGTAAGAATTCCTGTCAGGGTGACTGGGTTAGGAAATTAGTAGTATTTTGGTTTCAGGCTCTCCTAATCCAACCCATTGTACTGCCCAGTCCTCTATGGCCTCTTCCTTCTTTGGAGATTGGTTGCCCCAGCCAACCAAAGCGCAGGCACCAGAGTAGAGGGGCATGTTTTGGGGGGGAGGGGGGTCAGGTCTGCCTGTAATAGAGGAGAGTCAGCCGGCAGGTGAGCCGTGGTACCTGAAAAGCCTGGAGGCGGCAGTGTCACTGGTGTCCAGCCAGGTGCAGGAGATGTATGGGCAGCAGGTGATCAGTATCACGGGACCTGCCACTTGGATTGCCCAGCCATGGATTCTAGGTTCCGACTTTAATCTTTTGAAAGACTGACAAAAGTAAGGCTCTTGTTAGGAGTAGCCACAAGAACTGGGCAGGTGTCAAGGCCCAGTTACTCGGTTATTAGAACTGAGGCATAAAGGAGAGAATTTCAGTTGAAAAACCCCATTTACTGAAAGTAGAACCAAAAGTCGTGCACAACTAGAGGAATAGTTGCTTTGATGCTGAGTCATCCAACCTGGTAAGATTGAAAGTTTCTTTGCCTTGGAAAAAGAATCATTCTTAGAATGGGGAGGAATTCTGACCCTGCAATGATGTCAGAAGACCGTAACTAGAGTCTGAAGGCTGTGGGGTGGTGAGGAGCCAGAGGAGGTTCATACAACCACTTTGGCATTTGAAACTAGGCTAGGATCTGAAAATCGAATATACTGGTCCAGTTGACTCCTCAGTAAGCCTAAACCAAATTTTGTTTGGAACCATAATACTTAGATTTGAATCCAGGTTCTGCTAGTTCCTGCTTGCTCCTGGCTATGTAACACGGGGCAAGTTATTTAACCTCTTTTTTTATTTTTTGAGTTTTTTTTAATTTTTTTTTTTTTTTTTACTTCTCATCTGAGGATATTTTTTCCATTAATTTTTAGAGAGGGGGCAAGGGAAGCAAGGGAGGAAGGGAGGGTGGGAGGGAAAGAGGGAAAGAGGGAGGGGGTGAGAGAGAGAGAGAGAGAGAGAGAGAGAGAGAGAGAGAGAGACATCAATGTGAGAGAGACACATCAATTGGGTGCCTGCTGCATGCTTCCTGACTGGGGCCAGGGAACAAACCTGCAACCCAGATATGTGCCTTTGACCAGGAATTGAACCCTCGACCCTTTGGTGTGCCGGCTAATGCTCTAACTACTGAGACACATGGCTTAACCTGTTTTTAAACTTAGTTTCTTTATCTGCAAAATGGAGTTGATAATAGTGCCTACCTCGTTAGATTGTTAGGAAGATTAAAACTGATTAATTAAAGCATTCAATTAAAATAGTGTCTGACACAGAAAACATTTATTGAGTGTGTAAGTAGTAGTATTAATACCCATTGTAGTTAAGAACTTTTTTTTTTAATCACATCCAAGCACATGTTTTCATTGATTTTTAGAGAGAGAGAGAAACATCAAACTGTTGCCTTCTGTATGCACCCGACCAGGATTGAGCCTGCAACCTGGGTGTGTGCCCTGACCGAGAATTGAGCATGCAACCTTTTTGGTGTATGGGACAATGCTCCAACCAACCGAGCCACCTGGCCAGGGCATAGCTATAAACTTTTGTAACATGTTCAGTTGTGCCAAGGAAATGACATGTGTATGTTTGTGTGTGTGAGTGTGTGTGTGTGTGTACATGTGTGCACGCACATGCATGCGTGCATGGGCACATACACATAAAACTATTCATTTATTTTATCAATTGTATGTACAGGTTTTTGACGAGAAGTACTTTCTGGTGGAAATGGATGATTTGCGACCAGAGAATCATGCAAGGCGATCCTTTGTGTGTCATGTTGACAGTCCTGGTATTTTCCCTGTGCAGTGGAGTCTGAAGAATGGTTTACACATCACACCCCCTCCTGGTATTCATTCCTTCTGTTCTGAATTGGTTATCAGGAACTTTCCTTTGAAATGAGATTTATCAGATACGTTACCTGGACCTCTTGTCCCTTTCTCTCTTCATGCCCCAGCCTCTCCTTAACATTTCGGAGCCCAGGACAAGTATAAGTGAAGGCCTAGGATCCATATATTTACATACTTGAAAGTTATAAATTGTTAAGCTCTAAATGAAGTCTGTTCTGTCCTACCTTGACAAATGCATCTTCATGACAACCTGGGGTTCCATGTGGGTTCCTTAGTTCCTTCCACCTTGTTTCTGTTGGGAGGTCACAGAAGGGTGGGGATAGTTTGTGCAGTGGATATTGAGAGCTGATTTATGAGAAGAGATGTGAGAGCCAGAGCTCGGAGGTAGATTATTGGTGATTTTTAGGTATCTGGGCCTTATCTTAGAGGGAGACTGTTCAGATCCAGAGAGAGGTTTATGGTCAAGAGTAGGACATAGAGGGGTAGTAGATAGGAAAGTAGCAGCTCATGTTCTGGTGTTTGCAGCTTTGCAAAGTATAATCTTTGACCCTTTAATCAAAACTTATAAATATGACTTCGTTGAGCTTGAATGAAATTTTTAATATTTTTTAACTTGGAATATCTGTAAGTGTCAGACATTTTTCTGACTTTTCTATCAGCAAACGAGATTTGTTGGCAGACTCTACATCCTTTTTTAGTAGGCTTCTGGTGAAGGCCAGCTAAATGCTGACTGCTGGAGCATGGGGCTGGGAGTGCCCTGTGTGCGAGCAGGAGTCATAAGCTCAGAGCTTTTGCCTTCCATTCAGTTTTCTTTCATCCAGCAAACATTATGGAATGTTTGCTATGAACCAGACATTGGGCTTGTCACTAGGGGGTACAACACATTTCCTTCAAGGAGCAAGAGGGAGAACAGTAACAGCCTCCCAGGTCCTCCTTCGTCAGTGGACAGAATGGGAGAGCCTGCCTGGTGGGATGGGGTGAGGGGCACATCTGCAAGAGCAAGTTCTTGTTTTTCAGGAAGGCTCTGTGCATCCCAAGTTCTTTATCCTGCCTGCTGACTTTCGTGAAAAGGAGAACCCATGATTAAAGCTATTGGGCTTTCAGCACTGTTAAGACAACTCAACTGTCTTTGTAAATAGAAGGAAAGTAGTGGAATATCTCATTGAAAATGGCAGATAATTTACTGTGAGGAATTGAGGTGGAGGCAGAAGTAGAACATGATACCAATCTCAGTTGGGCAGAAGCGATTGCAGGGGCTGTTTGGCTGTAGGATTGGCATAGTCTTGAGTAGCTTGCTTTGTACCTGTGAGCTCTGCAGAGCCTAGAGGCCTCAGACACAGCAGGCGCAGCCCAGCTCCTTGCACACAGATGCAGAGACTTCTACCCAGAACCTGGTAGATTTAAGTGGAGAGGCAAGTTCAACTTTTTTCTAAAATGAATTCATGATTCAGGTTATAAGAGCATTGAAATTCTGTAGGGCATGAATCATAGTCGAGAACATCATATTCGTAGGAGCTAAGATATGTTTAAGGAAACAGCTTTATGAAAGAAAAAAGTCTTAGCTGATTACATAGTACTGCTGTCTCCTTTAGAGCCTAAGTCATAATAGGATTGATGATAAGATTCGATTTATTGGTACAAATCAAATCCAGTTATAACTGTCTTAAATTTTTTTGTAAATTGCCGGTAATTAATCATATAAAATATTGCTCAAAATAAATGCCTCATTTGAAATTAAAAATTTATCCAAAGAATTATAGTGTCATGTAGTTTGACCACATTTGCTCTGTTTTATAAAATAAACAAACAATGCTTTGGATTTATAAAGTGTTTTTACCCCCGTCTCTAGAATGATTAGAGTCCCCAAATTAGCAAAATTAGAAGTTGTGGGTGCACTTTTGGCAGAGCAATAAAGCCAGGCATGCTTTTGTGATGTGAATCATTGTTTTTGTTTGTTTGTAATTATTATTTAAAGTATTATATATGTCTCCTTTCTCCCCCATCAACCCTTCCCTGGCCACGCCCACCCCCAGCACATACCTGCAACCCAGATATGTGCCTTTGACCAGGAATTGAACCCTCGACCCTTTGGTGTGCCGGCTAATGCTCTAACTACTGAGACACATGGCTTAACCTGTTTTTAAACTTAGTTTCTTTATCTGCAAAATGGAGTTGATAATAGTGCCTACCTCGTTAGATTGTTAGGAAGATTAAAACTGATTAATTAAAGCATTCAATTAAAATAGTGTCTGACACAGAAAACATTTATTGAGTGTGTAAGTAGTAGTATTAATACCCATTGTAGTTAAGAACTTTTTTTTTTAATCACATCCAAGCACATGTTTTCATTGATTTTTAGAGAGAGAGAGAAACATCAAACTGTTGCCTTCTGTATGCACCCGACCAGGATTGAGCCTGCAACCTGGGTGTGTGCCCTGACCGAGAATTGAGCATGCAACCTTTTTGGTGTATGGGACAATGCTCCAACCAACCGAGCCACCTGGCCAGGGCATAGCTATAACTTTTGTAACCATGTTCAGTTGTGCCAAGGAAATGACATGTGTATGTTTGTGTGTGTGAGTGTGTGTGTGTGTGTACATGTGTGCACGCACATGCATGCGTGCATGGGCACATACACATAAAACTATTCATTTATTTTATCAATTGTATGTACAGGTTTTTGACGAGAAGTACTTTCTGGTGGAAATGGATGATTTGCGACCAGAGAATCATGCAAGGCGATCCTTTGTGTGTCATGTTGACAGTCCTGGTATTTTCCCTGTGCAGTGGAGTCTGAAGAATGGTTTACACATCACACCCCCTCCTGGTATTCATTCCTTCTGTTCTGAATTGGTTATCAGGAACTTTCCTTTGAAATGAGATTTATCAGATACGTTACCTGGACCTCTTGTCCCTTTCTCTCTTCATGCCCCAGCCTCTCCTTAACATTTCGGAGCCCAGGACAAGTATAAGTGAAGGCCTAGGATCCATATATTTACATACTTGAAAGTTATAAATTGTTAAGCTCTAAATGAAGTCTGTTCTGTCCTACCTTGACAAATGCATCTTCATGACAACCTGGGGTTCCATGTGGGTTCCTTAGTTCCTTCCACCTTGTTTCTGTTGGGAGGTCACAGAAGGGTGGGGATAGTTTGTGCAGTGGATATTGAGAGCTGATTTATGAGAAGAGATGTGAGAGCCAGAGCTCGGAGGTAGATTATTGGTGATTTTTAGGTATCTGGGCCTTATCTTAGAGGGAGACTGTTCAGATCCAGAGAGAGGTTTATGGTCAAGAGTAGGACATAGAGGGGTAGTAGATAGGAAAGTAGCAGCTCATGTTCTGGTGTTTGCAGCTTTGCAAAGTATAATCTTTGACCCTTTAATCAAAACTTATAAATATGACTTCGTTGAGCTTGAATGAAATTTTTAATATTTTTTAACTTGGAATATCTGTAAGTGTCAGACATTTTTCTGACTTTTCTATCAGCAAACGAGATTTGTTGGCAGACTCTACATCCTTTTTTAGTAGGCTTCTGGTGAAGGCCAGCTAAATGCTGACTGCTGGAGCATGGGGCTGGGAGTGCCCTGTGTGCGAGCAGGAGTCATAAGCTCAGAGCTTTTGCCTTCCATTCAGTTTTCTTTCATCCAGCAAACATTATGGAATGTTTGCTATGAACCAGACATTGGGCTTGTCACTAGGGGGTACAACACATTTCCTTCAAGGAGCAAGAGGGAGAACAGTAACAGCCTCCCAGGTCCTCCTTCGTCAGTGGACAGAATGGGAGAGCCTGCCTGGTGGGATGGGGTGAGGGGCACATCTGCAAGAGCAAGTTCTTGTTTTTCAGGAAGGCTCTGTGCATCCCAAGTTCTTTATCCTGCCTGCTGACTTTCGTGAAAAGGAGAACCCATGATTAAAGCTATTGGGCTTTCAGCACTGTTAAGACAACTCAACTGTCTTTGTAAATAGAAGGAAAGTAGTGGAATATCTCATTGAAAATGGCAGATAATTTACTGTGAGGAATTGAGGTGGAGGCAGAAGTAGAACATGATACCAATCTCAGTTGGGCAGAAGCGATTGCAGGGGCTGTTTGGCTGTAGGATTGGCATAGTCTTGAGTAGCTTGCTTTGTACCTGTGAGCTCTGCAGAGCCTAGAGGCCTCAGACACAGCAGGCGCAGCCCAGCTCCTTGCACACAGATGCAGAGACTTCTACCCAGAACCTGGTAGATTTAAGTGGAGAGGCAAGTTCAACTTTTTTCTAAAATGAATTCATGATTCAGGTTATAAGAGCATTGAAATTCTGTAGGGCATGAATCATAGTCGAGAACATCATATTCGTAGGAGCTAAGATATGTTTAAGGAAACAGCTTTATGAAAGAAAAAAGTCTTAGCTGATTACATAGTACTGCTGTCTCCTTTAGAGCCTAAGTCATAATAGGATTGATGATAAGATTCGATTTATTGGTACAAATCAAATCCAGTTATAACTGTCTTAAATTTTTTTGTAAATTGCCGGTAATTAATCATATAAAATATTGCTCAAAATAAATGCCTCATTTGAAATTAAAAATTTATCCAAAGAATTATAGTGTCATGTAGTTTGACCACATTTGCTCTGTTTTATAAAATAAACAAACAATGCTTTGGATTTATAAAGTGTTTTTACCCCCGTCTCTAGAATGATTAGAGTCCCCAAATTAGCAAAATTAGAAGTTGTGGGTGCACTTTTGGCAGAGCAATAAAGCCAGGCATGCTTTTGTGATGTGAATCATTGTTTTTGTTTGTTTGTAATTATTATTTAAAGTATTATATATGTCTCCTTTCTCCCCCATCAACCCTTCCCTGGCCACGCCCACCCCCAGCACATGCCCCCACCGCCCCAGTGTCCATGTCCATTGGTTATGCTTGTATGCATGCATTCAAGTCCTTTGGTTGATCTCCTACCTCCCCAGCCCCTCCCCTGCCTTTCCTCTGAGGTTTGACAGTCTGTTCAATGCTTCTCTGTCTTTGTATCTATTTTTGTTCATCAGTTTATGTTGTTCATTATATTCCAGAAATGAGTGAGATCATGTGATATTTATCTTCTCTGACTGGCATTGTTCTCCTGTCTCTACCTAGGCTACCCTGGCCAGGACTTTGATTGGGCCGACTACCTCAAACAGTGTGGTGCTGAAGCTGCTCCCCAGAGGTGCTTCCCTGAGGTGAGAACCCGGACCGACCCCTCGCAGCCACTGCTTCCTGTGCTTTTTGTGATGAGTGCTCTGAAGTCAACCCTCCCACTCAACCCAAATAAGCATCTTGTTGATTGTAATCAAATGGTCCAAGGAAAAATCCATTCACTGCAGAAGCTAATTTGTTAATTATTTAAAGTTTATCAGTTTTATTTTTTATTAACTGAAATATGAATTTAAAATTGTAGTTCATAATGATTTTTGATGGTTCAATAATATGAAAAAATATTAAGTGGAAAAAATTGTTAAACTTATTTAAAACTATCAAAATAATTATATTTTTAACATAATAAAAAATAATTTATTTATCAAAATAAAACCATGCACATGGCTTACAAACCCAAACAGCAGTAAAAAGCTTAGAACATAAAACACCAGTTCTCAGCCTAACCGGTTTGGCTCAGTGGATAGAGCGTCGGCCTGCGGACTGAAGGGTCCCAGGTTTGATTCCGGTCAAGGGCATGTACCTTGGTTGCAGGCACATCCCCAGTA